AGGCGGGTTTAGAATGATAGTGAGGATTAAAGGAAAGCAAAGGGTGAGAGGGACTTCCCATGTGCCAGGTGCTATTCTGAGCACTCAGTAAAGGCTCTCTCTTCTAGCCTGTTAATCTTCCACAAGCTCAGGTGCCTGGCAGGTGGATGAACCAGGGGGTAGGAGGGGCTTAGTTTGATCAGAGGGAGAGTGTAAAAAGCCAGTAATTACTCCAGAGGCTTTAGGGACAAGTTAGGGTCAAGTTCTGGCTTTGCCATATATTGACTTGTGACTTTGGGCAAATCACTTAACTTCTCGCAGTCTCGACACTTCACTTCTCGCAGTCTTGATTTTGTTTCCATGGTAGTCGTGAGGAAGGGGGTTCCTTCTGTTTCACCATGAATCCAGAGAGAAATGAGGAGGCCAGTGCCAGCTGGTCATCTATTTTTAAAATCCTGGGAAGGATTTTCAGCCTCTAGGCTGGGTATACGGCCAGTTTGGCAAATGGAGACAGGTCTTGAACAGAAAGTTCAAGGGCCTGTCTTGTTCCCTCAGTCTTGAGTCTAGGGCTGTCTTGACTTTTTTCACCCACACTTTTAGCAGTCTGATGTCATCAGTGCACGCTGTCTCCCAAGACCTCGTATGACTGGCTCTCGCTCTGTTGCCAGGCTGGAGTCAAACTCCTGAGCTCAAGCGATCCTCCCACCTGAGCCTCCCGAGTAGCTGGGATGACAGGTGTGTGTCACCATGTCCATCTGACTCTTCTTTCATCGTCCCTCCCCTTTTCGTTCTCCCTGCTGTAGGAGACTTTGTCATCCTGCTCAACGCTGGGATGAGCATCCAACAGGCTCTCTTCTTCAACTTCCTTTCTGCCTGCTGCTGCTACCTGGGTCTGGCCTTTGGCATCCTGGCCGGCAGCCACTTCTCTGCCAACTGGATTTTTGCGCTGGCTGGAGGAATGTTCTTGTATATTTCTCTGGCTGATATGGTAAGTATTCCATAGTTCATTGGATGGGAGGGCAACTACGGGGGCGTTAGGTAGGTAGTTTTTTTATTTTTATTTTTATTTTATTTTATTTTATTTTATTTT